TTGTTGATATTCAGATGCAGGCCAGCTTTCTCGCTTTCGTCCTTTACGTTCATGAACTTATTGACAGTGTAGGCTTATTGAAAGAAAACTACAGAATGGTGGCACCTGTACAAAAATTATTTTTCATTAACTTTTTATCCCGTACGGTCTCAATCACGAGTAATATTAAAGTTGACAATCATGTGTCGTGTACAATTTTACGTTGAAAAACTGTGAAAGAGTGAGTCTGCGAAGGCCAAAACCACAAAGTAGAGAGGGACTACTGTATATACACAGAAATATATATACATATTTACTTTTAATTAAATAGGTACTGGTAACATACATAAAAATGTACAGTAAATGTTTGTTTTTTTGTTAATTAATAAATAAATTAGCTGCAGCATTGTATAAGCCGCGGGGTTCAAAGCTGTGAAAAAAGTAGCGGCTTATAGACCAAAAATTACGGTATATTTCAATGCAGACGTCAATGTATAGTTTACAAACTACCATGATCAGTCCAGGAACAAGCTCAGCATCCTCCTCTCTTGCCCACAGCCAAACAGACACACCCTCCTTTGACCCAAGGCTGTCCTGTCACACCTCAAATATTGTATCTACCACCTCGGTCATGGACCCTTCTTCTTCTACATGTTGGTCTTCAACCAAATCAGAAGATGCTGATACCTCCTTTGCCTCCCGCGTCTCCAGAAGTCAGGTGAGGAAGCAGCTGGAGAGACTGAACCGGAATAAGGCTGCAGGTCCAGATGGTGTCAGTCCCAGAGTCCTGAAGGTCTGTGCAGAGCAGCTCTGTGGGGTTCTGCAGCACCTCTTCAACCTTAGCCTGACCCAGGAGAAGGTCCCAGTGTTGTGGAAAACCTCCTGCCTTGTTCCAGAACCAAATAAACCTCATTCATCAGTCCCCAGTGACTATAGACCTGTTGCCCTGACATCCCACATCATGAAGGTCCTAGAGAGACTTCTGCTGACCCACCTGACTAAACAAACAAGCACATATCAGGACCCACTGCAGTTTGCTTATCAGCGTGGACTTGGAGTTGAAGATGCCATCATACACCTGCTTCAGCAAACTCACTGTCATCTAGAAAAAGCAGACAGCACTGTGAGAGTCATGTTCTTTGATTTCTCCAGTGCATTTAACTCAATCCAGCCTGATTTGCTTTGTCAGAAACTCAGAAGACTCAGGTGGAGGCCTCAACAATCACCTGGATCAAAGACTACCTGACAGACCACAGTTTGTGAGACTGAAGGGTTGTGTGTCTGACCAGGTGGTCAGTAGCTCAGGAGCACCACAGGGGACTGTACTCTCACCGTTCCTTTTCACTCTGTACACCTCAGATTTCCAGTACAAAACAGACTCCTGTCATCTGCAGAAATATTCAGATGACTCTGCAGTGGTCGGGTGTATCAGAGATGGACAAGAAGCTGAGTACAGGAACTGGTGAACCGCTTTGTGGCATGGTGTGGAAACAATCATCTCATCTTGAATGTGAACAAAACAAAGGAGGTGATTGTAGATTTCAGGAGGATCAGGAACAGGTCCAGCACCATTTCCATCATGGGAAAAGAAGTGGAGGTGGAGAAGTATAAATACCTTGGGGTTCACCAGGACAACAGACTGGACTGGAAATGCAACAGTGAAGCGTCTACAAGAAGGGACTGAGCAGACTGTACTTCTTGAGGAAGATGAAGTCCTTCAATGTTTGCAGCAAGATGCTGCATATCTTCTATAAGTCTGTTGTAGAGAGCACCATCTCTTCTGCCATCATCTGCTGGGGGAGCAGCACCAGAGCAAGTGACTTAAAAAAGATCAACAAGCTCATTAAGAAGGCTGGTTCAGTTCTGGGGACTCCTCTAGAACCTTTTGAGATGATTGTACAAAGAAGGATTCTTCATAAAATGAAGAACATTATAGACAACCCTCAGCATCCTCTTCATCAGACTCATACAACAACAAAGTGTCTTCAGGCAGAGGCTTCTTCAGATCCGCTACAAGAGATCCTTCCTGCCCAAAGACATCAGCATCTCTTTAATGAAACCAGGATGATGAGTTACAACAACAATTAATTCCCCTCTGGGATTAATAAAGTTTTTGAATTGAATTATATTATTAAGATAATATGGCCGCAATCCATTAGTGGCTCAAAGTAGCCATTAGCTCATAATTAAACTACAAACTGAGGTAATTCAATCTGCAACAGGTAAGATAATAATTGTTCATAGGTGATCTTTCTATTAAAGCCCCCCTGTCTTAAGGTGTTTTACAGAATGGAAACAATGAGAGGGAGTGAGGAGAATTATTTCAATCTTCAGGACTCGGACACAAAGAATCATCTCCCACTCTTTACTGCAGTACAAGTATGAAACTCTGGTCTGGTCGACAAATTCATTTAAAACGTAAACACAAATTACATCACATTGAACTGTGTGAACAAGATAGCTGTCACATAAGCATGGTGTTTTCTTGATAACACTATTTATTTAGTTTTGTAAAAACAAATAGGGTTTACCAAGTTCTTTCTTTCCTTTGAGTACTTGTGTTGTTTACTTTTACATCAAATTTGGAGCCTGTTAGCTTCTGCAGCTTGGAGGACCCAAACACCGAGAGATGTAAAAAATTGCCTTTCAATAAAGTTTAGACCAAGCAAAGCAAAGCTCTTACTCAAAGACAGACAAAATACGTCTATATAGGTTAGAGCATATATTTTTATGTATTCAGTTTTCTCTCTTACACATAAGGACATTTTCGTTAGTTTTAGTTCATTTTTATTTTTAGGCATATCTACAGACAGCTATTCAGTCCAACAAGCGCGTGGTCGGTGTCTTGTGTTCGGTGGGAGTGACTGGGGAAACGAAGCTTGTCGGGGGCTTTGCATTCTGTTGTGAAAGTGCAAGTAAGATTATTTGCATCTTCTTTTCCTGAAAGGGTCTTAAATGAGACGTTATTTACGCACATTTGCATCTGTTGACGAATCTAACAAGTTAACGATTAGCTTAGGATTAGCTTGTTTTGCTAACTGACCGTCCTTCATTCATTCCGAGCAGGCCGCCCGCCTCTTTGTTAAAGAGCCAAAGCTAGCTTTAGCCTTTAGCACGGCGTGTTATTATTATTATTATTATTATTAGCTAATCTAACGGAACACATTTCTAATGGATGACGCATCAGTAGTGTGTTTTCTGCAGCCACACTCTCATTTGTAGCACCGTATTTCAAAACAATGCATTTTAATAGTGTCTAAGCTTTTACAGGATTATATGTTTTAAACTTCAAAAGTCAGTTATCTATGTCGGGCTGAAGTGCACGATTTTTCAACCCTGAACTCTGAAATGCAGGTCTGCATTCAATGTAAACAACACACAGTAATATAGCATTTTTGTACTTGCCCTTGTCCTATTTTCAGTCACTTTGGCTGTTTCCATAGATTAAAAGCACACGTGGTTCTTGGCAGCAGTTCACAATTGTTGCTAATAAATTTTAAATTTAACAACTCGTTAACCATTTGGGAGGAAAATAATTTTGGACTGAGCAGAATAATATTTAGTACATTTCAGCAATCATGTTGAACGTTGATTTTTGTTTCCCCAACAGACACAAACTTGGCAAGTTCACTTTTTCTTGTGTTGCGTTATAGACATTTTGAAATCGGAATAAAAAAAATAAAATGAACTGGTCCAGATAACACACGATTTGAACACACGATCAAAAATGTAATTGTAATAATTTTTTCATCCCTAAATTTTTAAACATCTGCAATACTGGTTTGCTTTATTCCCTTTATTTTGTGTCCTAGTGAAAGGTATTCACTTAAAACTCACTGATGTCCAGTTACTAAAATTTGCTCCTAGTGAAAAGTCCGAATGAAAGTCCAACTTTTGTTTTATGGTCTTGCCTACCAGTATTCACATTTTCACAGTTAACAAACTGCACTTTATAGTAAACAACTAGCTCCATAATTCAAAGTAGTCCCAGACAAATAAAATTAGGGCCTTTATTTCAGATTAAAACCGAAAGCTCAGAATAAAATACATCTTCAATGTGCAAACAGCCTAATAAGCCTTTTTCTCTCTTGCATTGAAAAGGTCCAAGGCTTACACTTAAAGTAAACAAAGTTAACATATTTAGAAAATATAAAACAATAAAAAGTGTCACTTTTTTTCTTTTTTTTTTTTGCTTAAAGAGGCGCCAACCTATAAAAAAAATTAAGTTTTCAAGTAAAACATGTCAGCATCTTCAGAAAACAATCAATAAAAAACGTCTCTTTAGGAACAAAACTGAAATCAGAGCTTTAAACAACACCTTTTCTTTTTTTGATAATTTATTTGACTTTTCTTAATGAGAGACATGTTCATGGGATTATCCTGCCAGTAAATTAAGTCTTGGTTGGAATAGAGCCATTCTCATGTAGGAAGCTGAGCATCATCAGTAACATCTTTAGACCCATCGATGGCCAAAGAGATGCATGGTGCACTCTGAACAGCTGCATCCAGCTGTGCCAGCACATCATCTTCTAATATTTCACATTTTCTGCTTGCTGTTGAAGCAGACGTCGGGATTTGTTTGATATTTTCACACACTTTGTCGTTTTGTTTTCCATCAAATGTCTCAGCAACAGCATTTAAGCACTCCTTCAGGACTGTCCCGTCACTACACGTTTTTTTTTTTTTATGTTGCTCCAAAATCCACAATACCTCGAGTGAGCATTCAGTACTCTGCTAGGCCGTAGAAGTATTTGTTGTGTAGGTTGGATCTGTCACACTGGGCGTGTAGTTTAGTTAATTTACTGCTCTTTGTTCGGACTTGAGGGCAGCACGGTGGCGCAACTGGTAGAGCTGCTGCCTCTCAGTGAGCAGGTCCTTGGTTCAAACCCCGGTCCAGGGGCCTTTCTGGGTGGAGTTTGCATGTTCTCTCCGTGCATGCGTGGGTTTTCTCCGGGTGCTCCGGTTTCCTCCCACAGACCAAAAACATGCATGTTAGGCTGATTGGTAACTCTAAATTGTCCCTAGGTGTGAGTGAGAGAGTAAATGTTTGTCTCGTTTGTCTCTATGTGTCCCTGTGATGGACTTGCGACCCGTCCAGGGTGTACCCCGCCCCTCGCACAGTGATTGCTGGACATGGGCACCAGCGACCCCCGTGACCCAAAATGGAATAAGCGGGTAAAGATAATGGATGGATGGATGGATGTTCGGACTTGAGCAGATAATGTTGCTCAGAAGAGAGGAAGAGCGCTTCACAATGCCACTTTTAATTAATGCAACCGTTTCAAAGCATACAATGGGTACGGAAAGTATTCGGACCCCTTTAAATTTTTCACTCTTTGTTTCATTGCAGCCTTTCGCTAAAATCAAAAAAGTTCATTTTATTTCCCATTAACATACACGCAGCACCCCATCTTGACATAAAAAAACAGAAATGTAGAAATTTTTGCAAATTTATTAAAAAAGAAAAACTGAAATATCGCATGGTCATAAGTATTCAGACCCGTTACTCAGTATTGAGTAGAAGTACCCTTTTGAGCTAGTACAGCCACGAGTCTTCTTGGGAATGATGCAACAAGTTTTTCACACCTGGATTTGGGGATCCTCTCCAGTTCCGTCAGGTTGGATGGTGAACGTTGGTGGACAGCCATTTTCAGGTCTCTCCAGAGATGCTTGATTGGGTTTAGGTCAGGTCTCTGGCTGGGCCAGTCAAGAATGGTCACAGAGTGGTTCCAAAGCCACTCCTTTGTCATTTTAGCTGTGTGCTTAGGGTCATTGTCTTGTTGGAAGGTGAACCTTCAGCCCAGTCTGAGGTCCAGAGCACTTTTCTTCCAGGATACCTCTGTACTTGGCCGCATTCATCTTTCCTTCAATTGCAACCAGTCCCTGCAGCTGAAAAACACCCCCATAGCATGATGCTGCCACCACCATGTGGCGGCTGTGGCTGAGTGGTTAGAGCAGTCGTCCTCTAATGCAAGAGTTGGGGGTTCGAACCCCACAGCAGTCATATGCCGAAGTGTCCCTGGGCAAGACACTGAACCCCTCATTGCCTCTGATATGTGTCCCCTCAGTGTATGAATGTGATAAAAAGCTCTGATTAGTCTCATTAGAATGATTTGTTCAATTATCTTTGTAGAGATCTAGTAGAGTGCTGTATGAATGGGTAAATGAGGCACAGATTGTGGTGTAAAGCACTTTGAGTATCTTGATAAGATAGAAACGCGCTGTGTAAGTACAGTCCATTACCTTGTTTCACTGCTGGGATTGTATTGGTCAGGGGATGAGCAGTGCCTGGTTTTCTCCACACACCACTTAGAATTAACGCCAAAAAGTTCAGTCTTCATCTCATCAGACCAGAGAATTTTATTGCTCATAGTCTGGGAGTCCTTCATGTGTTTTTTGGCCAACTATGCGGGCTTTCGTAAGTCTTGCACTGAGGAGAAGCTTCCGTCAGGCCACTCTGCCGTAAAGCCCCGACTGGTGGAAGGCTGCAGTGATAGTTGACTTTGTGGAACTTTCTCCCGTCTCCCACTGCATCTCTGGAGCTCAGCCACAGTGATCTTTGGGTTCTTTACCTCCCTCACCAAGGCTCTTCACTCACGATTGCTCAGTTTGGCTGGACGGCCAGGTCCAGGAAGAGTTCTGGTCGTTCCAAACTTCTTCCATTTAAGGATTATGGAGGCCACTATGCTCTTAGGAACCTTGAGTGCTGCAGAAACTCTTTTGCAACCGTGGTCAGATCTGTGCCTTGCCACAGTTCAGTCTCTGAGCTCCTTGGGCAGTTCCTCATGATTCTCATTTGCTCTGACATGCACTGTGAGGTCTTATCTAGACAGGTGTGTGCCTTTCCTAATCAAGTCCAATCAGTTTAATTAAACACAGCTGGACTCGGATGAAGGAGTAGAAACATCTCAAGGAGGATCAGAAGGAAATGGACAGCATGTGAGTTAAATATGAGTCACCGCAAAGGCTCTGAATACTTACGACCATGTGATATTTCAGTTTTTCTTTTTTAATAAATTGGCAAAAAATTCTACATTTCCTGTTTTTTTATGTCAGGATGGGGTGCTGAGTGCACATTAATGAGAAATAAAATGAACTTTTTTGATTTTAGCAAAAGGCTGCAATGAATCAAAGAGTGTAAAATTTACAGGGGTCTGGATACTGAACGGCCTGATGGAAGAATGCACATTAATTTCTCTGTCCATTCATCTTTAAAACAGTTTCCAGCATCAACTTTTCTTATTTTGGAGCACGACCTGCTGTCGCTTCCTCTCTGGTCCTTCTCGGCTCTTCTCTGGCGACGCGAGAGCTCGCTGCACCGTGCAGGGAAACAAAAGATTTGATCGTCTCATTAACTGAGTGACGCTGTTACTGTAACACCTGAAGTAGAGTGAAGCTCCAAAACACCTCCTCCTCCTCCTCTGCTTGGCTCTGCACCTAAGCTGTCTATGGCTGGAAAAATGCTCCATGAAAATGATCTATTTTCGTGGATTTATCAGATTGGGCACGGGTCCGGATCCAGACCCGGGTCCGTCTTTAGGCACTAAACGGTAAAAACAGTTTGACTCAAGATGGAAACAACACAGACAGTATAAGGAACTTTGTTTGGTCAGTTGTAACAATAACTTTTGGAAATAAACTTTATACTGTTGGAAAGTCAATTTCTTTATCTTTAAATGTTGCCACAGTTGTTAGAAAAATACATCTGTGGGTTGAGTGTATTTGTTGCACCCATGAGAAATTTGCCGACTCTTCTCCGCCAATTCCAAACAACCTATTCTGATACGGACTCTTGTTTTGGGGTTCTGGCACTCCAGGTTCTGACCATCAGGTTCTTGATTTGGTCATGTTGTCAGCTACTGAGGCAACCTCACAGCACTGCCCAAGCTGGTGAGCAGCATAAGCAGAAGGCACTTGTGGTTGCGTATGGTTCTTCCGCATGCTGCTGAGGCCTCTGTTAAAACTAAATACGTCTTGTTTCTTCAGACTTCACTCATCCAGATGAGTGAACAACAAACAGTTAACAGCAGAAAAAGCTGTTTGCACTTGCAGGGATGATGCAACTAATTTTTCATGCTGCTCAACCCACAAGTACATTTTCCAAACAAACGTGGAAATAAACAGAAAGACTTTGTTACACCAAAGAAATGCCCAAACACAGATTTCCTTACTAAGTTTATTTCCATTAAGATGAAAATTAAAGTTTAGATGACTATGGAAGCTTCTTTTAAGATCAATAATTATCTCAATTACACGTATTTGTTGCAACTTTGAAATGTTAGTGTAGCTAAAATTATTCCGAGCGCAGGACTGAGCTTTCATAATCAGATCTCGTGACTCAACATCCAAACTAGTCTTTCTTACACGTCGTTTCATTTTACATTTGACGACTGCGTTTTGTTTTTCCAGCGGCGTGTGTCCTGCTAGGTGTGCGTGTTGTGTGTCTGCGACGTCTGTTTGTCGTCAGAGCTGGTTCCAGTATGAAGAGGGGCAAGAAGACCGAGGCAGAGTCCACAGAGGGAGACACTGATACTGGACCTGGTACTGGAACCGCAGCTCACACCAGAAAATCTATTGTTCCTGTTTGAAGTTTATGTTTCTCCTAAAAATGATTTTTTTTTTCCCCAACTTGTGTCAGCTTCTACAAAGAAAGCAAAAAAGGCTAAAGAACCAGAGGCCCCAGTATTATACGATGACCCTCCAGACAAACTGACCAGTAAAGATGGACGCGACGCAAACCTGAAGATCACCTCGTGGAACGTGGACGGGCTCAGAGCGTGGGTGAAGAAGAAGGGCCTGGATGTGAGTTTGCTGTAAGAAATAAAACAGTTTGCCACTCGAGGCTTCTTGCTGACAGAAGGCTAACTGTTCCTTCCCCAGTGGGTGCGTGAGGAGGATCCAGATGTTTTGTGCCTCCAGGAAACGAAGTGCTCAGAAAAAGCTCTTCCTGCTGAGATCACCTCAATGCCCGAGTACCCCCATAAGTACTGGGCTGTATCAGACGACAAGGAAGGATACAGCGGTGTAGCCATGTTGTGCAAAACTGAACCCCTCAAAGTGACGTATGGAATCGGTGAGTGCTGTCCGTGTAATACTGGTGAAGCTAGCTTCCAGTTTCTGGTGTGCAAGTACTAAAAACTGACACTTTTCTTTTAAAAAGTTGAAAGAATATTGTAAATTAGATTCACTTTATGGCATTTAAACTTTGAACACATAACAAATAAGATGACAGATACAGTATACAGTAGTCCTTCGTTTATTGCGGGAGATCCGTATCCTGAAGCCCCGCGACAAATGAAAAACCACAAAGCAGGAATAGCAGTAGTAGTAAGTAGTAGTTTATTGTAGTATATATATATATATATATATATATACACAGTGTGTATATATATATATATATATATTATATACTGTATATAGATATATACACTATATATATATGTATATATAAAGTGTATATATGTATATACAGTGTTTTAAAACCTTTCCACAGTTTTGCAATATTCTAATGTTTCTAAACTCTAAATGCTCTAAAAGATCACAGAATGTCATGAGTTCAGCTCTCTGCCTAGGCTGCTCTCTCAGCCACGCCCACTTCTCCACTCTGCATGGAGATCAGCTGCAGTATGGGCTGCACAAAGGTGCAGCAGGTGCTAAATAATTTAAAATAATTTATTTTAAATAAAAATTTCATGTCGATCGTGCGGCTCATCCATCAATCAGCCACTTGTGTGTCATGTCCAGTCTTATTTTGAAAAACCGCGATAAACGAACCGCGAAGTAGCGAGGGACTACTGCAGTGGGTATGAAAAGTACACACACCCGTTAGTGTCCCAAGAAGAGAGACAATAATGTATAGTGTTGAAACTTTTCCCAACTTTATTGTTGCAAAAATCCTCTACAATTAAACACATTTTGGAGTATTAATATTAGTATTAATAGTATATAACATTACGTCTTCATGGGAACACTTGTCTTTCTTTAAAGAGACTTCTTAAAAGAAGGATTTTCCTGGCATTTACGAAGTTGCACCCTACAGCAAAACCCACGGTTTGCAGAGAGGTCACAAAGCAGCCAAAGAATTTTATAGTTAAAATGTTTAATTAAGAATACAAAAACTCTGAAACACGGGGGTGGCAGCATCATTATGTGGGGTTGATAATCTTTGGCCCAGTTTACACGAAGCGTTTTTGAGTGAAACCAAGGTTCATTTACAAACAACAGCCTCATTCTCTTAAACTGAAGGTTTCTGAATCCAGGTCTCAGAGTGGTGATTTTCAGGGGAACCCCCCACAGAGGTGTGAAATGCTTCATGTGTGAAGTGACACATGCATCCAGGTGGCTGCAGTCCAAAGGTTTTCTGTTCTAACAACAGTTATAATAAATAACAATTATAATAAATATAAACAACGGTTATAATAAATGTCAGAGAGCAGAGTGTTTTTGTGCAGCTCAGCCTTTTTCAGCTTGTAGGAGAAAAACTAATAAACTCCAGGCTCCGCAGAGACGTTGATGGATTCACCAGATGGGACGTAACTGCATGCACAATGAATGCAACTGAGCCTTGGATCAGGGTTGCCAGATAAATTTAAAATGTCTTATTTACCCCCTCTTTTTCTGTTTACATGTGCAACAAACGACACTCATCTCCTCTTAGAAGATCTTTACTCAGCACATATGACAGTTTAGCTCAAAATACTATAATTTTAAAGCCACAGTACTGTAGTTCATAATTACTTATCTGGCAACTCGACTCACATGCAAACTACAGCGTTTTCCTGTAAACCTGTGTTTCCAGAGGTTGTTCTCGTGTAAACCAGGTTTTAAATTCCAGGGATCCCAGGAACTCTGAAAAATGACTTTCACATTTTCCAGACGGGGCGAACTCATGAAGTTTCAACTCTGATCTGCTGATTAGAAGATGGTCTCGCTGAGATTTTAACGTGTTCCATGTATTATGTCTTTTGGGCAGTTTATGGTGAAAATAGACAAAAAAATAACAGAAAATACTAAAGTTGACACCTTTTTAAACTTTTACTCTAAAATAACATTTTTTAAACATTCCAACTCTTGCAGGGAAAGAGGAGCACGACAAGGAGGGGCGCGTCATAACTGCTGAGTTTCCAAACTTCTTCCTTGTGACCGCCTACGTTCCGAACGCCAGCAGAGGTCTCGTGCGCTTAGATTACCGCAAAACCTGGGACGTAGACTTCCGGGCTTACCTGAGCGAGCTCGACATACAGAAGCCTCTGGTGCTGTGCGGCGACCTGAACGTAGCCCACCAGGAGATCGACCTAAAGAACCCCAAGGGCAACAAGAAGAGCGCAGGCTTCACCCCAGAGGAGCGCGAGGGCTTCAGCCAGCTGCTGGAGGCCGGCTTCGTGGACAGCTTCCGCGAGCTCTACCCCGAGCAGGCCAACGCCTACACCTTCTGGACCTACATGATGAATTCCCGCTCCAAGAACGTGGGCTGGAGGCTCGATTATTTTCTGCTGTCGTCCTCCCTCCTGCCAGGCCTGTGTGACAGCAAGATCCGTAACACGGCCATGGGGAGTGACCACTGCCCCATTACTCTGCACATGGTTGTGTAGGTCCCTCTGTCCTCTACGCCCCTCTTTAGCGGTTTGGTCAACCAGCGAGGACGTCTCTGCCACTCAGTAATAGTTAAGGTGCTTTTAGTCGTCCTCGTTTCAACTAGTTCCAGTCATTTTTGTGACGCGACACTAAAAATACACAATTCCTAAGCTGATTTTCTAAAAGGATGCTGTTACTGTAAACCAAACTACTGCTGTTAAACTGTAACTTTTTCCATTCTGGTTGAATTTGTTGTAGAATTTGCTGACTCGTAAATAAAACTGGATTTGTATTAAACTTTTTTCATTATTTCACGAACAACTCATGAACCATTGGATGGATTTTAATGAAAGTATTTACGGAGTGTAGATCACCTGATTCACTTCAGGAGTCAACTCGGATCAAGATGGCCACCATGGTCAAATGGACCTTGGAAAAATACGAGCATGGCTCTAGCTATTTTACATCTACCCCGCTGTTAGCCTAACATTTTGTGGAGTGGCTGAGATGGGATTAACCTGTATAAGTAAAGGTTGAATGAAAGGTATGAGTAAACATCAAGACGTGACTAAAATGGCCACAACAGATGATCTTGGTCTAAACATGGAGCAATACGCGTTCCTTCAAGGAAGTTTGGGTCTATTGTTTGTAGGGGTGCACCGATAAATCGGCCCTGATGTTCTTAATTTTGGGAAATCAGCCGATACTTGCATGAAAAACCAATTTTACCGATTTCTTTAGTTTTAACAACAATTGTCTGAACTTCATTTATATTTCAGAGCACTACCTCATGGCCAGTTAAAACAAATTGTATTGTTTCTAAGATATTGTTCAAGGGTGTGTTTTACAATAAAATATTCACGGAAAATTGAAGGTGCATTGTGAACTTATAACACCTGACAGTGTCGCTTATAAAACAAAGTCGGTATTGGCCAAAATCGGAATCAGCAGGTCAGACTTTTTAGAAATCTGTGCAACCCTAACCGTCTGCCATCGTAAGGCGATGAAGGGAAATTAAAAATATGCAGTGCCTGTATGCACATTGCGAGCATAACTTGGAAATAATAAGTAGGCTGGGTACGGTTCCTCCAGGTTCCCCGGGGGTCCCGGAGGCATCTGTACCCAGGGCAGGAGCTCCCAGGCTGGGTACGGCGCCCCCTGGTTGTGGAGGGGTGCCGGGGTGAAGGGTACTGACTTCCATTTTGGTGTGTGGCTACATCTAGACACAGGTTCCTTTCGATAATTGCGTTGCCACATCAAAATCCAAGACGGCCACCTTTTAATATATATATATATATATATATATATATACAGTGAGGAAAATAAGTATTTGAACACCCTGCAACTTTGCAAGCTCTCTTACTTAGAAATCATGGAGGAGTCTGAAATTTTCATCTTAGGTGCATGTCCACTGTGAGAGACATGATCTATATATAAAAACAAAAATCAGAAATCATAATATATGATTTTAAAATAATTTATCTGTGTGTTACTGCTGCAAATAAGTATTTGAACACCTGTGAACATCAATGTTAATATTTGTTACAGTAGTCTTTGTTTGCAGTTACAGAGGTCAAATGTTTCCTGTAGTTTTTCACCAGGTTTACTGCAGCAGATTTTGGCCCATTCCTCCACAGATCTTCTCTAGATCAGCCAGGTTTCTGGGCTGTCGCTGAGAAACATGGAGTTTGAGCTCCCTCTAAAGATTTTCTAAAGGGTTTAGGTCTGGAGACTGGCTAGGCCACTCCAGAACCTTGATATTCTTCTTACGGAGCCACTCCTTGGTTCTCCTGGCTGTGTGCTTCAGGTCATCGTCATGTTGGAAGACCCAGCCCCGACCCATCTTCAATGCTCTAAGGCGAGTGGAATTAAGACCAAAAAGTTCTATTTTGGTCTCATCTGACCACAAAACTTTCTTCCATGACTTCTCTGGTTCATCCAAATGGTCATGGGCAAACTTAAGATGAGCCTGGACGTGTTCTGATTTAAGCAGGGGAACCTTCCGTGCCATGCATGATTTTAAACTATGACGTCTTATACCACAGTAACCATGGAAACAGTGGTGCCAGCTCTCTTCAAGTCATTGAGCAGCTCCACCCGTGTAGTTCTGGGCTGATTCCTCACCTTTCTTAGGGTCATTGATACGCCACGAGGTGAGATCTTGCATGGAGCCCCAGTCCAAGGGAGATTGACAGTCATGTTTAGCTTCTTCCATTTTCAAATAATTGCTCCAACATATCCTGATGCATGCTCAATAATCCAGGTAGAAAAATCCAAAATAGTTCATTCTGGTCCTTTGGACGTTCAAAAAAACAAAACAAAACAAAAAAATGTAGATAAGTTTTGACTCTCATCCGAGAGACTTCCTCAGTCTGAGGTGCTGTATTCAGCTCAGTCTCTTAAATAGCACCTTCTCAGAGTGGATCAACCAGTTTGCTGCTGACAACCAAAACCAGCTGCTCACATGGTCAAGAAGGACCATCAGTCAAACAATGGATCATGAACAGAACACCATGGACTTTGTGGATAAGGTGAGGGATGTCATCATGGAGACTGATGAAACAATGGTCTCTTTTGATGTCACATCACTCTTTACGTGCATTCCTGTTGATGATGCAGTAGAGGTGGTCAGTTTAAAATTAAAATCAGACACCACTCTGAGCAGCAGGACCACACTTTCCACAGAACAACTGTGTCAACTCTTGAAACTGTGCCTGCAGTCAACCTACTTCACATATGGGGAGCAATATTATAGGCAGAAACATGGGTGTGCTATGGGGTCTCCAGTTTCTCCTATTGTTGCCAACCTGTACATGGAGGAGGTAGAAAAGAGAGCCTTGA